CCTTAAAACAGCAAAAAATGCGTTTTGATACAGAAAGATTAACGTTTCGCGTTCATTTGCTGCAATTTTCTACCGTTAATTAAATACAACTATCTTTAATACTCCTATAGTCAAGACTTAAAGTCTTATTTCTTTACCGAGATATTTTAAGATTCTTCACAACTAGGGCCGTTCCTAGGCCATTGGCTGTCCGCGTACTTTCCCAAGATTGCTGCGCCAAAATTAAAAAATGATTAATAAATTTTTATTCCATACTCACTAAGTGCTTACATGACAAGTTGTATAAAAAGTACTTACATACGGCAAGTACTTACAGTGAATTTAATGAATTTAAAATATTTAGGCGTCGGTTCACGAGAATATTTAGGCGTCGGTTCACGCTAGGAACAGTCCTGTTCACAACACTGGGACATAGATTACTTTGCAGGGCATTCAGACACATTATTTTACATTTATCTCAGCCGATTCATAAAATGTAAGATATATCGTAGGAAATAGTGTCAGCCTGAAATACAGTTTAAGAAACCCTGCTCTACAGTATAAAGTGAAAAACACTCCAGCTTATTTTTATAGACATCGTTACTTACATTTCGAGCATATGAACAATTTTTACTAATTGTAAAAAATACATACAATTTCAAACCATACTTCCAACAAGACAGTTACTAACATAGAACAGATGTGGTCTTAAAGAAGTTTTTACTTTAATGTTATATAATCAAGATCTTGCTTTGTCTTTATGACCTTACATGCAATAATAAGATATGCAGCAGTGGAGAATAGGATCAAGAACGCCTCGCCTTATAAACAATTCAATTCACGAACAAATTATCTGAGCAAACAGCACCTCAGATGACGAAAGATTGCTCCACTTACGAGCACTCAAATTGGCAACATGATTTTCAAAGCTGTTTTGAAATATGTTATACCAGGGACTTCTCTGGGAACATCATTTTAATATTTTTCATTAATTATTCTCATTACTGAAGCCTGGCAGCAAGTGATTTATTGGATCGTGAATTCGGCCTGATGAAGGGAATTATGGACAAATTGGGTTACAAGGCAGAAATTTTGAATGCTTTGATAATTAGGACTTTTCTGTTAATTATGATATGGTTTCTTAAGGCAAAACCATAGGTTAGGAAATAAACAATAAAGACGAGGGAAAATTATTAGGACCATAAAGAATTACAACAACTTCAGAAACAGCAACAATAGGCGATTGGGATGGCATACCTTTAGAAGAAAAGGAAGAAATTTACAAAATTTTCATGCAACGATATCACTTTGATAAAGTAGTTGCAGGCTACATCATACACATATTCAAAGATCTCACTTTTGAAAACATTTTAAGCGCAAATAATAACAAATCACATAGAACAAATTTTGAATGAAACAGAGACACAGGGAATTTCAAGCAGAGTCGAATGACGCTCACAGACAAAGAAAAGATAGTAGGGGATACACCCCAAAAATAGAGTTACCTGAACTTTTTATGGAAGGGGATTTCGCATCCACACTAAAGCATATTCCTCATCATTTTTCTCTTATGTCGTCCACTATTTTTTTGTACAAGTACAGTAAAATTAAATTAACTTTTCATCTATTTTATCTTTTTAGTGTTATATTTTATCTTTTCATTAGTTTACATTTAATAATTTATATTTGTTTCAAGTTATGGACTTGTGCAGAAAATACTGGTGCAAAGTTTAAAGAAACAATATATCAATGGTTCCCAACCTGGAGTGCGAAATGCTACTTTTCTTTATTTGTTTAAAATAAATTAAATAATTTTTTCAAAATGACACAAATGGCATTGATGAGAGTGTAATATTTTTAAATTTTCATGTTTTATTTTATTTTTATTTATTAGAAAAATTTGATTATATAACTTTTTTTCTGTTGTATTGCTTTTTTTTAGAAATTGATTTAGAGGAGGCGAAAACATATTAAAAATTTTTAGGGGTGAGAGACATGATAAGGTTTGGTAGCCCGTGAAATAGGTCCAGGAAACGAATTGCTCCACTTTACATTAATTTCAATTGGGAAAATTGTTTCGTTTCACAAACATTTCGGTTGACAAATGACCTTCAGGAACGAATTAAGTTCAGAAACAGGTTTCTCTGTATGTGCATTTACATCTGGGAAAAAAAATTACCTTTTTAGTTTATTTTGTTCTAACTATAGAAATTTGGCTCATTTGAAACTCATTTTTATCTGTTTTTAATACCTAAAAGATTATTCCCCTCTCCTCTTCCGTCCTCTCATTTCTCTGCATTGTGGAAGAGTACACATTATCAAATATTTTTACAATTCTTTCATACTTTTGTTATTGATACTCATTGGTATTCTTTCTTTTCAGCCTTTAATATTCTTTCTGCCTTCTTATTGCTGAAAGATTTTTTTCAAGACTTTTCTGAACGCATATAACCTAAGAATGAAATAGATCTTTAGGGCAAATAATCCTGTAGCACAACCGGGTGATATGAGTCACGGGATTAAGCATCTTTGTATTGTTCTTAGATATTAGAGATACCTTCTTTCCAAAGCAATTCCCAACTTTCACCAAATATTTAGCGAATGCAATCCGATTGTACTTGTAAAATACTTTCAAACATTTTTTTACCCTCTTGTTTTTTCTTTTAAACTTTTTTCACCTTACTAAAATTCTGATATTGTTATATGCTTCATTTATAGTTTTATACAGAAGGATTATAATGCTTTTTAATGCTTTAGTAAATATTTTGAACACGTATTTTGTTCTGTGAAAGCAATGAAAGCTAGCGTAAAACTAATTTATCATAGATTACAAAATTTTTGAAATTCCGCGTGTTTAAATATAGTTTAACGAACATGTAAACGAATGATATAACGATGCCCAATATCCACGATCCACTAAAAATATTAGTCTTTACCTATACAAATTTTAAAACTAATTAAGAATGGCTTTTGACATAGAACTAATTTCAAGACTATGCTTTTCATGAAAGCAAATTTACATTTATATTTTATTTTAAAATTGATTTTTCCATGTTGCCGCATACACTATACTCAATGTTTAAAAATTACAGATAAATTTATTTATCTGATAAAAACAAGTATATGGAGGAAAAGCAGGATTACAATCCTCAATGATGGTCTAATGGACAAAAAAGTTCTAAGACGCAAAATATGTCTTATATCTCAGTCTGTCTTATATCTAGCACGCTTATATCTCAATAACCTCGAAAGCATTTTCTTTTATGGCTTTTAAGCTAAGCAATTATGACAAGTTTGCTAATTTAACATTAGTTTCTTTGAAATTAAAGATACAGTACGTAAATTCTTATATTTAAAATTATCTGTTTAAAATGGGAATAACAAATGATAGAAAAAACAGTACCTATTATTATCCCATAGTAAATTAACGCATGTTTTTAATAATAATAATAATAAAGGCTAAATTATTCAGGACTACTTGCTGGCATCTGTTTCACTTGGTCGCTTGCGCACGAAGCTTGCAACAAGTATTTCCTTCAAGTGGCGGTACTGTCTATTTTCCAAGACTTATCTACCTTGAAGAACCTTCTTTTGAGGGGTTTTTATTTATTTTTTTAATAACTAACTCCCCCCCCGCTTAGATTTTACAGATATCTCAGAAATAGACATAAAAGTCTTAATTTTTTCTTGAAGAACAGAACCTGTGCCCGTCATAAAAGAAATGTATACCGTATCACACAAAATCTAGAAAATTCTACCATTATACTTTTGCCAAACTTTACCGTTTATATGCTCTAATTCTATTGCAACGGAAGATTTAAATACAGATGAGAGGATTGTTCCTGATGCGCAATTACGATAAAGATGCGACATCGTGAATATTTATTCACTGCCTATGCCTAATGTAAATTCTAGTTTATTAGAGATTATTCTGAAATTCCATACAAAAATCAAATCGCTAAATGTCGAATGAAGATTCAGGATCATTAGGATCATTAAATGATAATATGTTACCTGGATTCACTCTAAATATTGAACATCACTTTTTTAATTCTTGAATACAATTTTGCGTTTTTAATTGATGTTGAAAATGTTTATTACCAAATCTGTAGATTTATAGCTCAAAAAACTCCTATTTTGATCAATAAATGCGCCATCAACAACATGCGCATTGAACGTATACATCATTTAAAAAGGTGACTGCAGATTTTAAATTTCTTGAATATCGAATCTACATTCAGGGACCCTGTACAAAGGGTCCTTTTAGGAGCTTCCATTGATTATTTTAATATATTTCGCAAAAGAAAAATAAGGTTGTTAATAGTTATAGGATGATTTTGAAATCTCGCTGAAACTACAGGATTTAGGCCTGAGTCTTGCGAGTGCAGGTAGAAATCATCAGACTCTTCTTAGAAGTTTTTTACGAAAATTTTGTTGTCTTCGTTGATCAAGATGATGTGTGTATTTAATTATGGCAAAGCACACTAGGGCTATCTGCCTAAGGGGAGGGATGCCTTCGTGAAGGACTTTCTGAGGGAAACTGGCTCGTATACACGTTACACATGGAGGAAAGCCACGAAAACACCCATGCAGCCAGCCCGTTCGCGAGATTCGAACCTCTGACCGAACTACCAGTGTTCAGCGACTTTACCGCTCGGCCGCTGGTGGGCCCTGATCAAAATGATGAACTAGGACAATGCGTACTATGCTTTAACAAATATTCCCTTAAATGGGTAATTCAGATTCACTCAATTTTCTTAAAGTTTCTAATTAAAAATACACATTTCGATAAAATATCGTCCGAAAAATGGAACCTGAAACTTCAGTCTCAAAAAATTTCATAAAAGACTTGTTGAAGAAACGAGATCTATTGTAGCTTCTAGTGGGAGTGAAATTACATGACGCACGCGTGATATTTTTCCTGTCACGTCACAAAGCGTATAAATATGCCATTCAGCGCAATAGGACGAAAAACTATCAACACTTACACGCAAATGTTGTCAAAAGGTTTTTTTTTTTTTTTTTTTTTTTTTCAGATAAGCTACGCAATATCTGTGTGCTGATATCGTCTGTTAATAGATACGGAGTGTTTTGAATCATAGGATGAAGTGATAAAATTCATATTTTTGTATAATATTCAATGGTTATTCGATGTAAGTCATAAAATATTTGTTTTTCATGCATGTTTTATTTTTTAATGCATTTATTCATTAATTTTTATAAAAACTGCATTTGATATCTATATGTGAATATTTGTTATATTAATATAATCCAAAAATTGAAATGTTAATAAGGTTTCAAAAATATCTGGGCTTATTTTTTTTCTCGCTTACAGGGCTTATTTTCTCTCGTTTACCAAATCCAAATAGTAAACTCAGTGTACCTGACTTTTCCGTTATAAGTTTTGCTGTCATTATTGGTTTGCGATGTTTAGAGTTTTGTTAATATACATGTGAAAAACCTTTCAAATTTATGCTTACGAATTAAGTAGTAATCTTGCAAAGTAAATCTGATTCATAACATTCTATAAATATAAACATAACTTTCAATTCAAGATAATGTTGCATCGCTTGTTTTTGAGTTATTTTATTTGATGAAAGAATTACATATGAATTCTTTGCATCAGTATGAAAAACCAAGTATTTAAAGAAAATTATTGTTAGGATAAGATTCATTGTTTGATTACGTTTTATTAGAATACATGATACATGATCCTTGTTTTTTTTTTTTTTTTTTTTTTTTTTTTTTTTCCATAGATTACAGCCTTATTTGTTCTGGTTTTGATAGGGTTAAAGACTATGTTAATTAAATTAACAATTTTTATCACCAAAACTGTACGGACTTCTCGAATGAATTAAATCTTGTCGCCAGTTTGTATTCAACTAACATGTAAATTATCACAAGATAGCACTTTGGTTTCACTCACATGCTGATTGTCTATAGTTGATTATACAAGTTGGCCCAAGATAAACCGAACCGAAGGTGGCCAGACGAGAAACTGAAAAGCTTTAGCGTATTCGACTATGACAGGACGGTGCGACAGTATATACGCCTCCTTAGAAGTAATGCATCCAGGTTTCACACCTAGCAGGACTCGAAGGGTTTTTGCAGAGCCTGCTCAAAGAACCGGCAACACGGGCAGTTTCCCGGGGCGCCATCAAGTATTACCCTCTCCTCCCCCCAAAAAAAAAATATATTTTCCAATCTGATGTTTTTTTTTTTTTTTTTTACACACTTTTCTGTCTAAATGCGAGCATCACTGAAGTTCAACTTCTTAACTTCTGACAATCTGAGTTAAAGTACCGCCGTTTTACAAAATATTTTGATATACACAGATCAATATATTCCTGCGATATTCCCATTGTGTCAAACAATGGGAATATCGCAGGCTCAACTTCATACAAATACGTCCAGATATGTATGTCATTTGATGACTGTGAGGACAAATCCGCCAAAAGTGCTGTACTTTTTGAAAAAAATAACAACTGCATGCCTGAAGTAAAAGATCAAGGTCACAACTATAATGCAGTTGAAAGCTTAGTCTTAGGTAGTAATGTCACATGCACAGTCGGGAATCATGGGAATCTTGAAAGTAAATTTGAGAGCTCAACCAAAATAAATGTCAACTTCAGTCGCATACTGGCCAGATAAATTATCAATAGATGAATGGGATCACTTCATTATAAAAATACTTCATCCTATTAATAAACAATACAGTTTTCCAAAAGGTGAAAATAAAAATAGTTTCACTGTGACAATGGTGGATAGGATAATAAACAATGATGAGAGTTTTTTTACGAGTTATTTATTCAGGTAGAACCCCCCCCCCCGAAAAAAAAAAGAATATTGCTTTGGTTGTTGAATTTTTGGCTTTCCCAATCAGTAAATTTTAGGAAAATCTGGAATTAATCATGCTTATGAATATTTATAGTTACATAAAAATTGAGCAAATCACCTAGAATGTCTGAAGAAATGGTTTGAAATATCACTGCGATGATTACCGACTAAGAAAATTATTGATAAGGAGCTTGATAATGTCACAAATGGATAAAAGAGCAATAGCATTGGTCTAAAGTTTTAGAACGTTTAATAAGTATTACTTAGTTTTTAGAATGTTTAATGAGTATTACTTAGTATTTAGATGACCGTCATTTAGCTTTCAGAGGAACTTGAGATACATTATTTACATCACACAATGAGAATTGTTTAGGTCTTCTTGAATTACTTTGAAAATCTGAATTAACAATGAGTGATCATTTATGACGGGTTGTGTCTAAAGAAACGTACATTCGCTATTGATGTAAAAACGTTCAAAATGAAATAATGATTTATTGTTACTGTAAAGTATACAAAGCTATTTTCTGTACGAGGGGTGCTTCCGTGAAGGAAATTCTCTGTGAAGGAACGGTTTCATATTCAAGTTATACATGGGAAAAGTCCAAAATTTATACGCAGCCAACCCATTCCCTTTGAACCGTTCTATGACCAGCAGTCAGTATTATCCCCTCTATCACTTGACAACAACGAATATTAACAAAGCAAACAAAAAATAAATAAATAAAACTTATTTACTAGTTGTTAAGTAAAATTTCTGGAGCCTGAAATCTCTTAAAATGGATGCTGCAAGTTTTCCTTATCCATACTAAAAGAAATCTAATATTGAGGATTTAGAAAAGGAAAATGAAGAAATTATAAAATTTATTGCATTGGACAGAATTCGAACTAGCAATGGAAATATGTTTAGATAATTTTAAGATAGTGAGACGGTTTCAGTATGAAAATCATGTTCCTTTTTCCATCAGTGTTACGATCTAGAAAGGATTGATTATTTGTGTAAATCAAGAGTTGTTATGTATTTTGGAGCATTAATAAATTAATTGATGCTGTAAATTGTAGCAGCAAACTATTGCAAACATCATGTAATGAAACCATAGCTTATATTAAAGTACAGGATATTTTCCAATATAGAACAACACACGCTAAATAACTTTCTGCAGAAAGATATACGTACCTATTAACCACTCATAAGCTAAATGTGTTATCTCTTATAACAGTGTTGTTTTCAAAATAATAATAATTATTAATAAGTATAATGTATAAATATTGTATTGTTGATAAAATAATAAGTATTGTTGATAAAATAATAAGTATTGTTGATAAAAACTCGTATGTTGACTCGTACCCCCCCCCCTTATAAAGATCTGTTAGACTCATACTCACCTTTTAAAGACGCCAAAAGACCTCAAAGAGACAATCCAAGGTACTCATTGTGAAGTAACTCTTTATTTATTTTTTTTTTTTTTGTAATTTTTATTTATTAAATACTGTATTTAAAATCTTAAATATATCATTCATTTTTTAGTGTTTTTAATTGTTTATTTGATAGAACAACACACCAACGACACCAACACTTTATTAACAAACAAACAAAACAAGAACAAACAATTAACACAAAAATAGAACCATGTTTATCATTACGCTGGCATACAGCGGGTTACTTTCCTTACTTCGCCTACTAAACAGTCTCTTCTCTGCTTTAGTAAGTCACGTGCGAAAGAGGCGTTGTAGGCCGTCCGACTAAACTGCGCATGCGTGGTCAACACGTCATGACAATTTCTACATAGACCTTATAAGAACAGAAATAGACTAACCCAAACGGGTTTTCTCCCTCGTCTGAGGCGTTGCCGGCTGTCACCTTGATCACATCCGGAGGAGTAGGAACGACTTGCAGAAATTTAACAGTGGTTGCCTATTGCAGCGTGTATAATTGTCAAGAAAAAGCTGGTTGTAGCGCCTCATTTCACAAATTGGAATTTCTACATATTTTTATTTTTTAAATTGAGATTGATTTTTAAAAATTTAACATATTTATCAAGCATAATTAACGTTCCAAATAATTATAAAGCTATTGCATGCTTTCAGGGCTAGATATTTTTTTAGCTTTTCCTATGCTGTAAGGAAATTTGTAATTACTTCTTTTAGAAAATAATATTTTAAATCTGAAGTAATAGAAAATTTCAAACAAGCAGTTTTCTCTTGCAATTTTTATGCTTTTTATTGGTGTAAATAAGTACTAAAATATTTAAAAACGAATTTTTGAAAGTTTTGTTTAAAATTCTAAATTGTGCTGCTTTTTTAAAATTATAGATGAGTATTGTTTACGTTCCGCGTATTAGAATGGCTCCGACATGGATGACGCAGTTTCGATTTTAAATATACTTAATAAATTCAACGACTCTTAGTCTATTTAAATCAAACTGAATACATTTAATAATATAACATTCACACGTAAACATTTAGTAATAATTCAGGAGTACAGATAAGCTTTAAAATAAGTATTACAAATGTTACAGGCCAGCTACGCTTTTAGCGACCGAATTCTACGAACAACAAATCTCAAAAGCGTGTTGCCAACGCAGGGCAACGAAAAGGTGGAAATTAATTCGATAGGCGTGGAAGTGAACAAGTATTATAGCACAATTTCTATAAAGGAATTTTATTTCAATTATATTTCATAATACATCATAGTGATAAACACTTTTGACTCCTTAAAAATTTTTATACGAGGGCTATCCAGAAAGTAGATTACGTTTTGGAATAAAAAAATAAACAAAGTATAGGAAACAAATTTTATTATATACAGATGAAAGCCACACTCAAATACTACTTTTCTACATAGTCACCATACAAATTAAGGCATTTATCGTAGCGATGTACGAGCTTGGAAATTCCTTCGTCGAAAAATTCGGCCGCCTGCGCCTTCAACCACTTCGTTACCTCTTCTTGCAGCTGTGCGTCGTCATCAAAACGCTGCATAGCCAGCCACTTCTTCATTGCTGGGAATAGGTGGAAGTCGCTCGGTGCCAGGTCGGGACTGTACGGCGGATGAGGAAACAACTCCCACTTAAAAGATTCAAGAACTTTACGAGTGACATTTGCCGTGTGGGGCCGGGCGTTGTCGTGAATCAACAAGATCTTAGAGCTCAACATTCCTCTGCGCTTGTTTTGAATTGCTCTTCTGAGTTTTTGGAGAGTTTGGCAATACCTTTGAGAGTTTATTGTAGTGCCTCTTTCCAGGAAGTCCACCAAAATTACACCTTTTCTGTCCCAAAAAACAGTCGCCATCATCTTCCTTGCCGACATTGTTTGCATG